CGAAGAAACACAAAGCATAAGATTTATGTACAAATAAACAATAGAGAGAAAGGGAAATCCCAAAAGTGAAAAAACGTACGTACACATCCAGCATAGAGAACCACAGCCAGCAGTCGGTACATATTCGAGTTAGGAGTGAGCTCCTACGCCATTGCCAACATGCAAATACACTTGCCAACTGATAATAGTCAACAAATTCAATTAATCTTCGAATCATACTAGGATGTCAAGATTACTAGTTTATCTAAATACCATGAGGACAAATCAAGCCCGCCAAGAAGAAAAATCCGATGTCGAGATTAAATTATAAACATCAAGTAGATTTTTGAAAAGGACTCTAAACGTTGAGAAGCTCGCAATTATATCTACGCTGCTTGAGTTTTATAAAAGAAAAGTTCCTAGCGAAACATTTCGGAACATTGAAGTTTATCCCACCAAATAATGCCTGCAATTCGACAAAAGCATATATTAACTTAATTCTCAAGTAACGGTACGGCTAACAAAAGCAATTTATTTCCATAAGGAGGTAAAGACACAGGAAAGTTCCTCAGACTAAAGAGCAGGATATGAAGTGCTCCCAAAAAGGAAAAAAAAGTCGCTAACGCTAACGATGGGATATACTTTAAAATCGGCAAAAAATTAAATCGGCCACAATAAACTTAAAAAACATCATCGAAAGATAATTCAAAAATTTAAGTTTATATCAAAGCCTTGTTAATCAAGGAGGCAAGTTTTTACCTGAAGGATACATTCTGGCGTTGTGAGTCATAAGGCAAAACAATGTGCTTTCTTGTTATAGCTCTTTTAAGCCAAATCAAAGGGCAATAGTCGCAATTGGCGTTTAAGCCATTAATTAATTAACATATGCAAGACCTGAAAGCAACAAATAAGAACATTATGGTCAGGTAACATCGTCTATTCCATACCTTCCGCCACTTCGCCTAGCACAGTTATTCCCTCGTTTGGGTAAATACATTCTCTCATATAAGAGCTCGCTTCCCGTGATTACGTCTATACATATTAGGGGTTCAAAACATTCAATTTTCCGAAGAGCTTACTACTCATGAGAAATCGTATATGGAGTGGAGCCAACAAATAGATCCATGTAGTTCAAATTAGGCCCGCTTAATTTTTATATTAAATTACTATCATGAGCAAATTCTCATAACAAGAAAATTAACAGTTAGCCTTTTTGATTTTGTCCGCAGTTCTTAGCAAACAATGGATTCTTATTTAAGGGCTCAAGACTAAATCGATTTCGCCATCCACACTACATACTTATGCAAGATCTTCGATGCATATTTCTACGCTTTGAATAATCTAATATACCGTCATGTGATGAATGCAGTAATCATTTGCCTGAGTGACACAGAATGATCTACACATTAAAAAACATTGTTTGCTTGCTAGCGTCAAAATATATTTACTAACACAGAGATTCTTTTTGCCTTCTTTTTAGAATTTCATTATTTTATAAAATCTTCTTAAACTAAACTAGAACGTACGAAATAAAAAAAATTAATTTAAGTGCGCAAAAAGAGCATCAACGGGCAACCAAGCGATTTGGAGGGATCACCAATCCATTCAATTGAAATATCGGTTACAGATGTTACTTTTCGTTAGAGTGTGAATGTGTGTTTTATCCGCTTTTTGATTTTAATATATTTTTTTTTAAATTGGATCCTCTTTTCGTGAGTTCAGCCTACAGGCCGCAATTTTTGAAATATTTTGGTGAAATCTGGTATATAGACATGTTTTGGCCTAAGGACAAATACTATTGAAGATAGTTCGGATTGGACCAATCTGTCGACCACTTTTCATGTAACGCCTTATTTTGAAAATTCGGCATATGGATAACTGTAAGTTGCAGGCTATTTAATGGCGGGCTGTTGCCTATTTGCCTTATTACAGAAAAGGCAACAAAATATTTTATGGAAAGTAATATCCATCGTTAGATTTTATCTTTTCCATTTTTATACTCTACATCAATTATGTTACAAGCTTATATTAAGCTTGCGCGAATGTGTGCAACACCCGGAAGGACCAATTCACAATCAATTTTTGCAGTGACCCAAGCTTACCTGTTCGCCTGTCAGCGTGATTTTTGTCCATGTATTTGGGTGTTCAATCTGCAGGGCTCAATTTTCAAGACATTTTGATGAAATTTGATACACCGGCGTGTTTCAGCCCAAGGACGTACACTACATTATGCGAATGGGGTGTAATGCATTTAATAGTAGGCCGTGAACCACCATAGTAGTATTGCTATTGTATTCTATATGAATTAATTTCTGAAATGATAATAGTCCTATGAGGGTATCTTTGATTCGAAACAAAAATCTTCTAAGCTCTAAATGGAGAAAGACGAGGTTATGAACGCAATAATTCATATATATTAGCTATTGTATCTGGCGCTTTTGGTTTACACTAAATATAAAAAATGGGAAGGCAGGTATCAGTTTGGCTGCAGGTGTAGTAAGCTTGTAAAAACGAAACTTCTTGAGCTTCTTGAGTTTCAATACATATGAAAGTGTAGTATTTAAGTCGGCCTGCACGCCGCCTACTTTTGGATATTCTTCTGATTTGTTTTTTATTTTAATTTTCTTCATGTATTTATTTAATTTATGAACATTTTAAAGCTAAAATTAAATAAATATTTATGATTTCTTTAATTTGTAGATTTTCTATTTGATATAAATGCGTGCATATGCACTTTTCAATAACCTTGAGATTCATGTTTATGAAAGATATTTTCCATTAATCTCTAAATATTTTTTAAATTCTCTAAAACAAAAGTTAAGGAAACAAAAAGTTTTAAAAAAATTTCGAGAATTAAGAACAAACATTTAGTGAAGACGTGACGTTGTTCGAAAAAAATTCGGATATTATGAGATTGTTGAGTTAACATCCTGTTCGCTTCATTTGAGTTACCGAATGGCTGCGGCCATTTTCCTCCTCTTTCCCTTTTCTTTCTGACCGTCATCGTGTTACACGAACGGCGGTCATCGCCTGAGTGATTAGTCATGTAAAAAAAAAAAAGAAAAAAAAAAACCTCTAGCCTCCTTGAATCAAAGTCTAAATAATGGAATCACAAAGTTTTTAACCACTCTTATGATTTATTTAGTTTTCTTTTATTAAAACTCGCATTCGATAAGCGTATTACATTACATGTAGTATAGCTAGTTTACGATCATTATAGTCGTTCCTGCGGTTGAAGAAGTTCCACTATACCTATGTGCTTTATAATGTTCCTCTGTCAATAAGATTAAAAAGGGGCTAGTTGCACTTGTATTCGGAAGCGCGAACGCATTCGCAGCATTTGTCTTTGACGTGATATCAAGTAAATAGCATAGCGCGTCAGAAAAGACGACAATTAATTGTTTGTCATGAAAAACAAGCATGACTGGCGTACTATTTGAGTCATCGGTGCAAACGGCGAAAACAAGTGCAATCGACTCGAGAAAGCGAGATTATTAAGAAGTGTGCTTGACCAAACGCGAATTTCTTAATTTGAAATTTTATATTAGTTTCCATTAGTTTCTGAAAGCTCAATCGTTTTTTTTTAACTGTAAGTCTGTTCATATTTGATCGCTTGGCGACTGTCTAGACTGTAACGACAGATAATCAACCATGTTACGGGAGGTTTTAACGCTAAGTAACTTTATACACCACTTGTGGTACTGGATATATTAAGTTTGCGCAGACGTATGTAACATTTAGAAGGGCTTCAGATAGGCCCATCCTTTATTATATCGATTGATTCAGACCCATTCCTAAATCGATCTGATGTTGCTTGCCCATTTGCCCTTCTACTGTCTGTCCATGCAAATTGTGTGTTCAACTTAAAGACCGCACTTTTTGAGGCATTTTGATGAAATGTAGCACATTGACCATTAATCCAATTTTTTGGCCATCCCCCTTATTTGCGAAATTATTACTAGTTTTATGAAAAAACCCTACAATTTTCAAAAGTTTTCGACAAAACGTTTAAGTAATAGGTAGTATTTCGACATTCTAAATTAATAAGAACACTATGGTTCGGCTGGAGCAAATTTTTAAACTCACCTCTCACGTAATTGTTCCTTTGAAAATTGAATCTTTATATCGTGAATCTTTATAAGGTGGAGGTAAAGTGACAAAAGAAATTAACCTTACTGAATTTGGACTACGTAGATCTATCTTTTGGATATCATTTTGTACGAGGATTCTCAAAAAATTTAGTAATGCAAAAATATGATAGTAATTTAATGAAGTAGTTTAATCAAGTGGGCTCACTCAGCATGAATAATATTGCCCTAAGAAAAAGCTTTTATTCTTAATATTTTATGATGGATGTAATAGCAATTTAGTAAAGAAATAAATGGTAGGGAATCTGGATCAGATAGGTTTAATTTTCTGACCTTAATAAAGTAAATTTGCAAACTTTGAAAGGTGTTATGCCATGCGGGCTTCCGTGAAATGAGAGGGTCTTGCTGGAATTTTAAACTATTCATATTTTACTTGAAACGCGGATTCAATTTTTTCCGAATTTTGGATGAGTATACCCCACATGTTATCGAAGCAACTGGAAGTATAAATTTTAAGAAATCCACTTCTCTCCCTCGGAAGAAGAAATTTCCTTCTATTACATATAAGGAAAAAGTTCACTTTTTGCTATATATGTAAACTTGAATATAAGAGAAAGAGGAAAAGTTTTTTTTTGTTTTTCTTTTAATTTATATTTTGAAAACTAGCACTGAGTGTAAACTAAAGTAAACGAAAATATAAAGCCATTAAACGATTGATTAAGAATGTAACCAATAACAACAGCAATTTGATGTTTATTATCATACTATAATTAAATACAAATACTCATCGTATAGAAAATTTCGAAAATTTGTTCTCGTTCTATTTGATGAGGACATCGAACGAAAACTCCCACGTAGTGTGAGAATCTGATGAGTCTTTTGCCTTTCGTTGAATATTTTTGGAAAAATTCATGAAAATTTTCAATACGTGTAATAACATAAATAACAGGCAGGAGTACTTTAAAAGCATCTACTTTGCTCTGCTCGGGCATCAGTTGAATTTGTATAATCTTTAAGTGAACAACGTTTCCATTACCCGTAATAAATTAAGAAAAAAAACGGAAATAAATAAAAATGTCTCTTGAACGTGCAGTTAAAGCAAAGGTGAATAAAAAACTTTTATATACAAAGTTAAAAAGTAATTAAATTAAATAGAAACAAAAAAAAAAAAAAAAAAAAAACAGAAGATTATTATAAGCATAATATGAATCGAGTAAAAAGTTGGGAAAGTTTTATGTGTTTTCAAAATTTTTTAGATTGCTGGTAAGCGCAATCCTCAAATGGATCAAGAGGCCCAAGAATGGGTAGAAGCCATTTTGGGTGAAAAGTTTCCTGGCGGTGTTGCGTACGAGGACCACATCAAGGATGGCCAAGTGTTATGTAAATTAATTAACACCTTAACTCCTAACGCTGTACCGAAGATCAATAGCTCGGGTGGCCAGTTTAAAATGATGGAAAATATTAATAATTTCCAGAAAGCTATTAAAGATTACGGTGTCCCCGATTTGGACGTCTTCCAAACTGTAGATTTATGGGAAAAAAAAGATATTGCTCAAGTCACCAACACCATATTTGCTTTGGGCCGTGCGGTAAAAGGATTTTATCTTTAAGCGTAAACGTTGTAAGCTAATGAAATGCTTATCTATTCGCTTTTCATTTTTGTAGTGCTACAAACATGCTGAATTTAAAGGTCCTTTTTTGGGTCCCAAACCAGCTGATGAGTGCAAACGTGATTTCACCGAAGAACAATTAAAAGCTGGTCAAACGGTTATAGGCTTACAGGCCGGTACTAATAAGGGTGCCACGCAAGCTGGTCAAAACTTGGGAGCTGGACGTAAGATTTTGCTTGGCAAGTAAGCTACAATACAAATGCAACTGTGCCTGGTACCTTTGGTCTTTGCTGCTGAGGGCAACTAAACTTGTAGAACCATTTCGCATCTCCGTTATTTATTTCAATTCATTTTCTTTCCAATTTCTTAATATTAAGTCTAAATTTTACACACATGTATGAAGCGATTGAAATTTGTATAACCGTAAAGAGCGTAAAAGAGAAGAGAAAAAGAATAATATTTTATATAGATATACAAAAAATTATGTGTTTTCTTTTTCGCTTAGGAGTGGACGAAAATTTATGAAAGAAAAATGTAGAGTCGGCTATAAAAAGCGGTACCAAGAACAGATTCCAAGCCATTTATTAAAAATCTATTGAAATTTCTTTCCCATATTATTATTAAGATTATTGTTTTTGGTGCGTGCGTTATATAGATTTGGAAATGACCTCATTTTCTTCTTAATTACATATTTGACCTTCACTCAGTTAGCCATTTAAAGAATAGAGAAAAAAAAGAAAAAGAGGTGGTATATATATATAAGTGTGAAGACGTAAAACAAAATCATTCCAAGTTACGAAGCACAAAATTGTCATTGTGTTACTTTTTATAACCTACGTCATATGTGGTACAAGGGAATATTAATATTTTTGTAACGTGTTTTAGCCCAAGGACACAAGTTATTGCAAATGATTCAGATCGGACCACTTTTTTGATCACTTCCAATATAAGGACTTATTGCAATAAGTCGTTATATGAATAACTAACTGTATTAGAAGAAGTTATGCAGGGTATTTAATGATGGTCCGTGTATCACTATGGTATTTTTATTTGTTTTTTCAATAAAATATATAAATATAGCACCTTTTACATACATATGCACCCATTTAAACATAAACATTTGTGATCAGCGCAAAATTTCTGCTAACGTGAGAATATTTGAAAAATTTCACTCGGGCGAGGTTACAAGTGCAGATATTTAGACGCGTAATTAAAATGAAAAAAAACAAAATTAATAAATAAATAGATGATAAAATATTTTGATAGAATGCGTGATAAATTGTTTCTTTTCCGAAAATATTTTTAAAAACAAACGGTTTAAAAATAACTCATAAATTAGTAATAGTTTTTTAAAAAAGCAAAAAATTTGTATTTAATATGGAAAGGTGCGCAAACACACATGCAATGGTATTCCGATGGTCTGCCCAAAACTCAATTTATTGATTACCCCTCTTAACTAACGCAACGGAAGAATACGTCTCAATATATTGAGATATATTAATGAAAGAGTGAGTGTGCTAAACATAACAAACGATTGAAGAAAATGTTGTATTCAATTTCCTACTAGTTCAAGTTAGTGAGAGAAATTTAAATAAAGATACAAATTTCAAGTTAGTATGCAAGACGGACTTGAATAAACGTACATTAGATTTGTAATCTCTCTTAGGTTTTCCAAAGCGAATTTATATTAGATATATCTCATGTAACGATCCTGATCACTATAAATAATGTTTAGAGTTCAGCAATGTCCGTCTGTCTGTACACCTATTTAAATTTCTGCACTCTACACCACTTGTTTTATAGGATATATTGAATTCGTGCGCATCCAGTGGAACTTGAGACAGATAGAATCCATGTCTGAATTGATCTAAGCCTGTCTGTCCGTGCGTCCTGGTACCTTTGTCTTCAATTTACGGGCTGCAATTTTCGAGATACTTTGATGAAATTTGGTAGTCTGACATGTTTTGGCCCAAGGACGAATACTGTTGAAATGGCTTGGATCGCTCCACTTTTCCAACCAATTCCCATATAACAATTTATATTGAAAAGTAGTGATGTCAACAATTGACAGGTTGGCGTAGGGTGCTTACTGTATAAAACATTTTAGTGTTTTTATTCGTTTTTATAATGACGAAATATTATATGGACGAGCAAACTTGTTGAAACTAGGTTTAACTCCAAAAATCTTACACTAACTTTACGTTGGAGAATTGAATAGATTCTCAATGGGTGGTGAATAAAACTATGAGTTCTGTACCTTATTGTACTGCGTTTAAAGTTTGCGCAATAGTACAGCTTATCCCGGAAAGTGTACAGAACATTGCTTTTAGAGGAGCTTAAATTGGTCAAGTGCCAAATAGCATTTCAACCCACAACTATTCAATTGTTAGTTGAGATTGTTTGTCGACTCGGCCACTCAGACGGATGGTTTATTATAATTTATTACGAGCAAATGAAACAATCATCAGAGAACGCTACCAACAGAAACTGACGCAAATGGCCCGAGGAATTGGCGCCGTATGCCAATGTGACCAAATAGTAGTCATATGCCAATCTTATGGTATCCGAGAGGAAAATTCATCCAGGAGACATTACCGACATTAATGCATTAAAGTTACCCTTCGTCCTTTTATCACCGGACATTACCACTTCTAATTAACACCGATTTCAGTGGATGGCTTATAGACTGTGCGAGCAGTGGATCCCTTAAAAGACCAGTTTTCCTACCTGTATGAAATTCATATTTTGACTAAGAGGTAGTAGAAGTAGTGCTTAGCGAAAGACATTAGTTTAATTAAAACATGCCATGTCCCTTTTTTATAATGCACAGTTTTAATTTTTCTGAAAAAATCAACAGAAACTCGAGAAATTCGAGCGTGCAACATTTATATAACTGTTTTATAATTTCATTTCCATATGAAATGAAATTCCGCTAAAAATTTATTTGAAAATTGATTGTGTAGCTTTAGGCTAAATTTCTCTTGCTTATGGTAACTGAAAATCATATTAATAAGAACTAATTAAAATATTCGCAACAAGAAGAGAACGTCGGTTTCATTTTGGTATTTCATTCGTTTATGAAATAAATTTATTATACAAATTCTTTATTGAGTACAATTTAGTCGGACAAAGGTTAATATGAGAGAATAGAGAATATAGAGAATTCTGTTAACCGCCTTTGATACAATGGTATATTTTAAGTGCGGTTCTACGCAACATCCGGAAGGAATTGTAATAAATCCACTTCCCATTGTACCGATAGATTCAGGATCACTTTCTGAATCACTTCTGGATGAATTTAAGCTTGTCTTTCCGTTTTGTTTTCGTTTTCTCCACACGTTCTGCCACATAGGATTTCAATACGTTTTCAACGACGTTTACAAACATTTGACATTTTTTATAAGAATTTGTGTTTGCTGGCAAATGTAATGCAGAGTTGTTGACTTAACGCATGTTAGCATCAATTCCATGTCGATAATGCTATTAGATCCTATATCTTTAAAACAAACAAGGCCAGGTCACTACAAATAAACTACGATGGCTCTCAGGTTATAAAAATCGACTATTTTTAAAAGGAATTTGTGTAATCGATATGTGTAAAACTCGCACTCTGTAAGCAACGTTGTTCATGAAATACCTAAAAATGGAAAATTTATAAATGAATTTACTTCTACCATAAATATGGTAATAACATTTTAAAGCATTGAAACTAGAATTCAAGTCCTTTCTATTGCTTTACAAACGAAGGGTATAGTGAATTTAATTTTAACACTTTTCTAAGCAAATGTAATTATCAAGAATACCGAGTTTCTAGTCGCGCGTATAGATATAGTTACACATAACTAATACATATAAAGACAAAAAAGCGTTACCTTCGACCAAGGATGAAAGCGTATTTATTCTTTCAAAGCATTTTCAACACCCGGGGAGGAGTTTTCAAAGACTGCGTATGCTTGATCAGCGCCAAAATGGAAATCGATTTAAGCATGTCTGTCAGTCTGTGCAATCGCTGTAGGAAACATTCTTCTGGCCGCAGAAATGAAGCGCTCATTTTCACATTTGCACCTATACTTTGCGGATGGCTCTGTACAAAAACGAAGAAAACAGAAGTAGAATACTGAAATTTTATTAAAACGCCAACATGCGTGAGGAGGATTTCGAGATCCTATTTTTGATCGACATCACATGCTAAGTTCATCTAGGCATCTCTACCTTTCCGCCTCTGTGCATTTGTATGTCGGAGATTCTCCAATACCAAGATAACGGCTTAAAATTTTTTGCTTGTAGGTTGTTGCATACGCCCATAGGAGAACTTAAGTTGACTAAACAGCTCTGATTTAAAAAATCAAAAAATTCCGATTTTTGCTCATCATTCTTATTCCGCAATCATGAAAATTTCCGCATACGTACTGCGGACGATCTTCTATACTTGCGTATAAAAACGGAAAAAATCGACCATGTCCATCCAATATTGCGGACTATCGATATTTTAATTTTTGGGCAATTTTTTATAAAAAGGCTGATGATTATGAAAGGTTCGGTCACGCCCCATTATATAATGTTTGCTTAATTGTTTTTCCATTCATCCCTGTGTCGATCTGACGGTTTTTAAAAAACTTAATAAAAGCACTTAAACCTGTATTAATTGTAAGATATCATTATGGCATTCCACGTATATGCACACTTAGGCAAACACACAAAGTCGTTTAAAACGAAGGATTTGCATACATATTTTAATACATTACATTGCATCAATTTTGCTGTTTCGCATATAAAAATTCACGTTTCGTAGAAACAGTTATATCAGAGGAGTTTAAAAAAATATCCTAGCCGAACCAAACTTTTAATATCAATTTAGAACGTCGAAATACTATTGTTCAGCTAGTTTTATCGAGAAACTAAATTACATTTTTCTCATATAATGACTTTTTAAAACAAGACGTTATGTCAAGGTCGAAAAAATTGACAATTCTGAACTATTTTCAATAGCGTTCATCCTTCAGTCAACGAATTTCATAAAAAAATATCTCAAAAATTGTAACTTATAGGTGGTACCCAAAAATACATGGACAGACAGCCAAACAAGCTTAGATAGACTCAGAAAACCATTTAGAATCGTATTTGCTTAGCATAATAGAAGATGCTTTTATCTCAAGAACTTATGGATGTTACAAATCGCCCATACAAACTTAATATACTCTGTACCACAAGCTCCTTAGGATACCAATAAGGCTAGGATGAAGGCTATCGACTTTATATACTCTTGAAAGCTAATCTAACAACATATTAAAAATCTTTGAAATAGCCAAATATTACACATCTCATAAATAAAGTATATTCCTACTGAGCTAAGCTCATGCCGCTGGCTGACTTTGATTTGTTCACAAAATTGCTAAGGAGACACCAACGAGATTTCCAGAAATAATGGTTCTCCTTTTAAAAATATTTTCAAAAAATCCATACGAATGTACACAGTTCTTCGATTCTGTTGTGTGAGTAAGAATAAAGTAAATGAAACATTAGATCGTTCCAGTAATCAAGCTGGCACTTCTGTTAAAGTTTAAGAAATCGAGATTACATCGAACAGACTTTGTTTAAAGCATTTACTCCCGATATTTTCGACTGAAGTTCCCCATCAGCCTCCTCCTTAATTGTTCATCCCTTTTTTAATTAAAACATAAATAACAATAAATAAGAGAATAGCGTTTTTATTGTTATTGACGCGGTAAGCGCAATATTTTTTCTTCTTATGAATAAGCGACCGGAGAAACAAATACTCATTGTAATATATTTAATTTCGTAAAATATTGCTAAATCCTCACTTAGAGAGATTAGATTTACTTTTACTATCAACTCTAGCAAGAAAAAATATTGTTTCTTTCATTTTTAGGCCTACGCGCACCTGTTTTCATTTATTTTTCTATCTTCTACTAAGATTTCCACAAGGAAAGATCAAAAAATGGACGACATCTCTAAAAACATATGAAAAACGTAAGGTAAGAGATAAATGAAAGATAGCAAGAATGCAATTTGTCCAAAAATAACTTAATAGTACGGTTCGTCAACACTTGCTATTGACTGTTACGGTCTGGTATAGCGCGAAGCGTTTCGTCTAATTTTATTTCTATGTAAAATTTAACTTTTATAACCTATAAAGCCAGAAGTATTACCAATTTTCAAGTTATTTCATAATATGTTCACTTGTCGAACAAAAAGCTCTTGCTGCAGTAAGCTAATCTTTTGTTTGGGATTGGGGAGAAGGTGGGGGCTCTGGATAGACACTCATGAAACATTGACTTCATTTTTTCAAGCTTCCCACACAAAGTTACTTTACTCGTAACGAGATTTTTGGTAATCCCTACAAAGAAAAGAAGGAAATTGTTTTGCTGTCATTTCGTCACAGCGGATATAAAAAATGTAAAATAATTCTTGAGTCTTTATTGAAAACATAAAATTTCAAAGACGTAATTATTAACCGATTATTAAATTTAAAACCTTGAAGAATATAAACAGAACCAAAATTGCAAATAACAAAGAAGTTTACCTGAATGTTATAATTATGAATATTCTTAGAACAGCAAATGTAAGCCATTAAATCGACTAATTTATATATTTTTCTTAGTGAAGTGAATTATTACGTTTTGAACTTAATTATTGTTAAATAAATGTTTGTAAGGGTTGTAAAGTACATTAAGTAGACGAATTGTTTTGAAGTTTTTTTAATTTATTTTTCAAGTTGTGCCATTTCTCACGTTCTTTTTTGTTCAAATGATTTCCATTCAATTTGTCCATTTCGTTGTAGCTATAAGTATGTATATATAAGTAAATGCAAATTAAACAAAAAAAATGTGGAATATTTGAAATTGAATATTTTAAATTTTTTGGTTATCACTTACATGGTGACACCAATATCCGATCGCCGGAAATCTACATCTCTTAAAAAGATATCTAAATTACTTAAGGCTTTTAGGCGATTGGAGTGATTTCCAATAGGTTGCGCATCTAAGATCTTTCCCGTCATTTGCAATATCAATAAAACAACATGAACATGCATCGATGACGGTGACTCTATACACTTTAGATTGTCAACTAATTCTTTATGTTTTTCTAAAATTGACTGTTATAAAAAAAAAGAATTAGCAATAAGAATTGCCGAAAGTACATAGAGCACACACACACACCCACGTGAGGCATTTGCCCGCAGGAGAGGAGAGGCAAAGAAAAAAAGGCTATTGCTTTTGGGCAAAGTGGCAGTATCACTCATAATGTACGTGGTAAGGGGCCTTAGCTTACTTAAGTGAAGCTATGTCAAAATTGTCGACAAGCTAACTCGAACAGCATCATTTCAGGCATGCTACCAGCAGACGTAATGACTAACCAACTAATTTTGTTGTATCATACAAGAAGGCAACTTGAGAGAAGCTCACAGCACACAGGGGAAAGTATGCGTCCATGGCAGAGGAGGTGGGACAACACTGCAAAAGCGCTGAACACAAGAGCTCATAAATGATGTGAATAAGTTGCTTGAGTCACTGCGGTGTACCACTGACTACTTCTTTGCAGAACTCCGAAACACACCTTGCTGGAATGCCCATGTTTTCAACAAAGAGGCAAAATTGAAGTTTTTATTGGCAACCGAATTCATCCAAAAAGTTTTATTAAAGTACAATACGATGGTTACCCATTTGGTCTAGGACGATGTTCGAGATGCCTATGCAACCACAATGAACCAGCTGAGAAGAGTGGAATGTGGTCGCACTCGACTAAGGACAACGTCCTTAAGATTGACCAGTTGAGCTAAGACTCAGACGGTTCTCCCGACGTAATACTTAACGGTATTTCTGGGACTATCGTTAGACGTGTGTATGTGTGTGTGGAGGGGGAAATTTAAGTGGGTCCGAGTCCCACACTGACTTAGGCTTTAAATGCTTCCCCATTTCGTAAGAAAAACACATACACAAAGCATTTATACTCACCACAAGTTGGTTATACTTTAATGGAGGCTCGCGCCTGTAAAGATTATAAATCGTCACTGCGAGGACATGTTTAAAAATATTCAAACGATGCTCGGCTAAAGTCATTAAAAGTTCCTTTAGCTCATTATTAAAATTATGGTTATTCTAAATGAAACAAGTAAAATTAAAAGAAATATTTTTAAATCTTAAGAGGACCCACACTTACAAGACTATAATTGATGCACACTTTCCAGATCACATTCGTTCTGATAGCTATTTGAGGTAATTTATGAAGTTTCGTAAATTGATTTAACATTAACCTTTTATACTCTAAACATACGTTAGGCTTCATTTGAGTCGACTCATCACCATCCTTTAAATTTAATGAATGGCGTGAAAAATTTAATGCCAATAAAATCTCTACGCATTTATTATAGATGGAGTTGTCCAACTTAAGCAGCGTAGAACCCACCAACATAACCAAAATGTTAAAATACTGAAAAAACTTGAAAGTAAATACATCGTCTAACAAAGCATTCTAATAATTTTAATTTTATAAATCGTGTCTTGTCGATTTTTTTCCAAGATGCCAGCTACCATCCTCCATAAAAGATCCCTTGTAGAGCTTAGAAAAGAACACAGACCTAAATTTTCTCCTCTTAGCTTCAACGTAAAAACTTTAAGAATTTCAAAAACATATACTTGAAGGTCATAGAAATACAAACCAATATATAAACTCTAAGACAAATTAAATATTTAGGAACAGAATTTAGATATGAGTCGTATTTTAATTTATCTACGAGAATATATGTTTTTATATCGACTCGGTGCAGGATTGAACACACTTAGATTAAGATTATATTGTAGATCAAAATTTATATCTTCTTACCGTTTTTATCCGAACGACTGGAAGTTTTAAAAGGTCTTCTACTTTATCTAACAACGGCCATATGTATTTTGTTAAGTTGGTAACATGTTTTCGTACACGTTCTGTTCTTCCTTCACTTTGATACAATTTTAAAATACAAGAACAAATGATTTCGAAAGCGTACACGTCTCAAAAACAAAGTAAAAAAAAGGTATTTTAACGATTCTATAGAGAAAGTTGTACATGCAATTTACCCATAAAGCATTTATTAGCCTTAATAAGATCTTGTAAAAATGGTTTTTGTAAAAACTGAGCTTCCAAAGTAGACAATATTTCCGTTATATTATCGAATAATTCATACTTTGTTTTGATCATGATATTAAGCCGTTTTAAAAGTTCATAATATTCGAGTAATAAAGTTTTACTTTCGGCAGTTTGCTTTAAAATTGAAAAAAATAATCAAATTTAGTAAAAATCAAGTAGAAACGCTATAGTATCCTACACCACTTCTGTTAATACAGTTATTCAGATAACAATCTAATCCGAATTATTCGCAATAGCGTCCGCCCTTGGTCAAAAACATGTCGGTGTCCAAATACAGAAGATAAGACGGGCGGACGGACAGGCAGACAAGCCTAGATAGATTCAGAAAATGATTCTGAGTAAAACGCGCTTCGCCATCGGTGGCATAAGGTTTAAAAAAATTATGTAAGCGTGTTAGCGAATATTTCACATCCGTAACCTCACATTAACGCAAGTAAACTTCAAAGTACTCTGTTAAGTAGTAGCGTGCCTGTAGACAGCTTTACCAACTGTTGGTATGAAAGCATCCACAATAGGGACAGACAAAATTGACAAGAAGAAAGACAAATTTAGCGTACTATACCAATCTTTAGTGGTGAATATAGTGAGGAAATATATAGAAAAGCATCAATTCATACTTTCCTCTGTTTAATTTCTTTCAGCTGCCGTTTCAATCTTTGGAACTGCAATGTTGTAGTATCAGTTATTGATTGCAAACGTTGCCATTCTTTGTTAAACAATAAACAATTATGGAAAATGTTAAAGATCTCCACTAACACCAAATATTCCAAATTTTTCTCCAAATGTAAAAAAATACCCAAAGCATGATGAACATAATTTTCAATACACTAAAAAAAATTATAATGAAAAAATGTTTGTAATAGGAAAGAATTTTACCTCCTTCGTCCATTCATTCACATTATATAAACGAAAGGCTTCCAATATTATTAAGATAGTATTTTGACATTCAATCTCTGCAATGTTGTCCGGCAATATTAACATTAAATGTCCTATCTCCGATTTAGCTGAAAAAACTAAAAAATTTTCAAGTAAAAGAAGATTCTTCGCTTTAGAAGGAATCTTGATGGCATCCTTAAGCATAGTTTGTAATAAGTAGCCGATCTTAATTTTAAATCGATGGGAACCTGCAGTTTACAGGTTGATCAGTTTTTCTTGGAAGTGCTTTCAATTCCTTTAGTTTTAAAATTCACATTAGATATAATATTTACGCCAACAATTGTGATTATATCTATGAATAAAATGAATTTATTTCTACGCTCCGTTGATTGGTGTTAACACATTTCACGTATGCCAATATGCTTTGTGGCTCAGCCAGTTAGCTGTGTATGACGAATGTATACGTCATAATCCGTCCATCCGGTTTTGTCGGATCTGCTCATAAAGTTTCACCATTATGAATATATTCGTCAGCCCTAAATTTTCGAGACGCAATTTAAATTGGTTAAAGAGCCAACAATGCCATTGTTTAATTTGTTGATTTGAATATATTGAATATTTAAATGAATTCCTTTCAGCTCACAATTCCAACGAAATTACGTCAAATTATTATATTTATTGCAACCTAGTGAATATATTTCGTTTTCACGATTTTGAAAATATGTTGTTTTGGGCCATCAAACTTTGCGGTAAGAATTACTTCACTTCACTTACACTTCGAAATGCTAGTATGTACGGAGGAAGACTTACAAAGAACAAGCTCCATCCCAAATGACCACTTACAGGTTAAAGGCATAAATGGGAAATGTTTTAAAATGTGAAACAGGAAATATTGCTTTAAATATTGAAATGGCAATAACATTAACTAATTTGAAGTTACAGGAAATATACCAATACACGAAAATTGGCTGAGGAATGGGAGCAAACGGACTCTTACGGAAAATTTCTCATATGCGCTTTTTGGTATGTATTGTTTTTTCGCCCAGGAAAAAAGAGAACAAATTTTTACATCGCTTTGTTACTGATGATAAAATGTGGATTCTTTATGATAATACTAAGCATAAAAAAAATTAAAAAGCATTTGTTCAGTCAGCCGAACGGACAGTCTCTGCTGCAAATATTTTTTCTATATATTTACACCATGAGGTTTGAGGAGGCTTTTCGGAGACTTAAGGAGGACACTCCTGCAGATTCCATTAAAATAGCGATAGCTGAAGTTAGACTAAAAATTCGCGGCAATATGGAAAGACACCATACTCAACCATATATAGCTGACAGATAAAGGCCAGTCTACTTCCTAAATGCCTTTCTCTCATGGCCAGCATCTATTTGGATAAATGCAAAATAGTTTGGCTTTCGTTTAGAAAATACAAAAATGTATAGATAAAAAATATAAAGAAGTGTGGTGTTGAAATAAAATTTTAAGCTGGAGGTGGTCAAATCGTTTTCAGTGTTCATCCTGGAGCCAAAAACATATCGATGTACCAAACTTCATCAAAATATCTCGAAAATTGTTCCCCGTAGGTTAAATAGAAGAAAACAAGGGCGACAGACCGATTAACTGATTCTGAAAGTGACTGTCAATCGTTACATTAAAAGATGTGTCCATGTGCAGTTCTTCTGTGCGTTGCATACATGCGGAGAAACTTAATATACCCTTACACCATAAGGTATCTGGTATAAAAATATTATATTATTATACCTATACCACAAATGTACCGCAAGGTATATTTAGTTTGTGCGGAGCTGTGTGATACGCAGAAGGGCAAACATATATTATGCTGATCGAGAAAATTATTCTGAATTTGATCTGAGCATCTCTGCCCGTCTAATGTCTGTCCATCTAAATTTGTTTCAACTTACGGTTCGTAACTTTTGAGATACTTTGGTGAAATTGGTTGCCGATGCCTTTTGATTCAAGAAAAAATTGTGTCGCAAATGGTTTTGATCGGTCCATTTTTCCTACCCCTGCCCATACAACGCTCTATTTTGAGAAGCCGTTATAACCAGAAAATTGGAATTTTCAACATATCTCAACAAAAATCGCCCCATAATAGTGTTTAGACATTCTAAATTGATATGAAAAATTTGGTTCGACTGGGTCAATTTTTTGAATCCTCTTTCAGATAACCGTTCCTAGGAAAACTCGTTGTGAAACTAGTTCATAATAGCAAATTAACGTAGAAACAAATCTTGTTGCATTTGGACTACGTAGGCTTGTACTTTACATATAATTTCATACAAGGATTCTTTGAATATGCGGGCTTCATGAAAAGTATGCCTTTGCATTGAAATAATGAGTAACTTTTGATGTATCATTACCACAACGTAAACATCTGTAGTAGGCGAGGTGATGTAGATTCTCTAAAAGTTGGCCTTACTCGACTACAATCTCCTCGTTATAATAAATTTAGTAAGAGAAATAAATTCTAAGACTAATGTCTTAAAGTACTAGCATTTAAGACTATCACCTTTACTGAAAACATGAGGTTTGAACGCACGACCATTGAATTATTTGTCGAGATTCTTTGCTTACTTGGCCACTCAGGCAGCTGAGAGTATAAAAATAGAAAAATATAGACTCGAGAAAACAGTTCGTTTTCCCAGTTTACTGTAAGCTTAGCGGCTTGTTTTAAATTGGTTATAAAAAGATGGAAATGTATTTTTCCTATGTACCATTTTTTATAAAATTCTTACCAGAAATTTCAACTTTTATTTTAGCAGCCATTATTAACATTTGAGCGCAGTTTGAACGTATGGCGTCTGTATACCTTGCATCACAAATGATTCTCAAATAATTATCAAAATCCATTAAAAAATCAAAGTGTGTGGACAGCTGTCTAATAAAGTATTTTAGCTCGGGAAGAGATAACTTGTGAATGGAAGAAAACATTTAACAAATTTTTTCAATGGAGCACTAAGGTATTAAAGTAAAACGAAGACTTACTTTATAATCAATGTAAAAGTTAATCGCGTGTAATAAGTTTTCTTGACTTTGACAATTTCTTCGCATTAGTGCATACAATTCCGCCGCTTTATTTGATAAAGACTCGTCTCTATTCATCATTAAAGCAAGAATACTTTCCATAAATTCAGTAGAGAAAACATCGAAGCTGGTCAATTTTCTAAAAAAATTCAAAATGAAGGTTACAAATGTGGAAGCAAAAATATCATTATTAAAACAATTTTTGAAATATTTACCCTTGCAACAATTTTAGAAAATTCAAAGCTTCCATTTTATTGAGCTGAGATGTTTTTTTTTCCTTAACCAATGTTGTAAAATATATTTCAAGCATTGGTTGTTGAATTAGTAATGCTATTAAATCATTTAGATAATCCTTTTCGTTTTTCAGAAGATTTTGTAGGCTTTGGTAAATTTTTGCATGTGTACCAGGCAAATACTAAAAATGCAATATTTTAGAAAATATCAATTCTATAATGCATCTATTATTCACCTTAACCAAAAATGCTTCATAATAAAAATTATATTTTGGCCTTAAATGTGGATGGAGTAAATGAAAATCCCCTTCAAATAACTTTAACAAACCCTCTAGTACCAGTTCATGTGCTCGTATATAACTGATACAAAGGTTGCATGCAAAGATATAAAGTAGAAAATAAGTTAGATTGTACGCCGTAGGTCAACTGTAGTACAAGTAAAGTATTATTGAAAGAAGTAAGGACCCCTCCTTAGGAATGTCCCGTTTTCCTTTTTGAGATTCGAACTTGTCAGAATAATCGTGGAGCGGTTTAAGTTTTTTTCCCCCATTCCCCCTTTCAACGTTCCTACTCGTCAAAATGGAACAGCGCAGATCCTAAATTATCTACCTTGTTTATGATAAACCTCATTTATAAGCATCTTAATAGTCCAACAATTCAATAAAATCATTGTATACACTTCGAATACTTTTTATGCAAATAAAACCCGGAAGTAGACAAGATATGCCTTTAGGGGAGACCCTTGGTATTGAATTAAGTCTATCGGCAAATGCATTGAAATCTGATAAATCTGCGAGGATGCGATCAAGACAACACGCGTTCTGCAGTTTGTGTTCACGGTAAATTAACCTCAATTTTTACATTGCAAGGCATGCAAATTTTCTGTTCTAAAAATTGAAACTTTAATCTGCGTATGATATTTATGAAGATCTGACATAACTCGAGTGACCAGCGATATGTTTGGAAACACTTATAAATAACCTGCTATATACTTTGTGTGCGCAATTTTATTGATGTCTAACCTTACATTTTTTCCCCATTTTGCCTAAGTCAACTTAAAAACTGCTCATCTAGTTCCAATTTTCTAGCCGAATTCTAGATCGGCTTTGAACATGGCTTGCTTCGTCGGCTTCTATTTAAGGGCGCAACTTGTTCTACTTACTGTAAACCAGGTAAGGCGGCCACATATAAACGATCACAAATTTTATCCAGTAATGCATATGTTGAGCGATAACTTTTACGTAATTCGTGAAAGCCCAAAAGAAAATGAAAGTCTGTAAAAACCCAATTTAAATATGACAAATTGGATCAAACTGTGAGCATATACATATATAATAGGAATAATAAATTTTTACTTATTCTCGCCAAAGGCTCTTCAAAACGCTTTGTTTTATTCATTCCATCCAAACGCTCCAATTGCTTATATACACAACACCAGTGGGCCAAGAGCTGCATTGTGTAGTCAATGGAGGTTTCTACCTCATCTTCGCTGTTTATGTTCCGCAATTGCAATTCAAATTGATCAGCCGCCATAAAGCATATAAGAACTAGAAAACGTTCAATTCTTTTAAAGTCTTCATTGCAATGAAATGTATAAACACTCAATTGCTGATAGGGCCAAGCAAAAATTTTTTCATCGGCTTCTAACTGATCAGCAATTATATGACAACTAATACCAATAGCTGATAAACAATCAGTAATAAAGTCAGCAGCAATTTCTAGAGACAATTGCTGGGCCGTTTGCGATTTCTCCAACAAATTTTGCACGAAATCACGTGCCGCAATCTGACAGTATACAAATATGTTGAATTTATTATCGGTGCATATTTAAAATTATCTACCTCCACTGTCTCTCCACTTTTTAAAGATCCTAAAAAACTCATAATTCTTTCTTTTATTAATTTTGTATTGATTAGATATGAATAAAACAATTTTAAGTACAATCTGACAACCGTTATTTAAAACAAAGTTGCTATCGACGGTATCGTCTTATTCAAAGAATTCATGCACTATAGAATTTTTTGATACCATTTGTAATAATTCGATTATAAAAATGCTTTCAAGTTACCCATGCGATAGTGGTTGTCTAAGCAATATATTTGCCTTCAAATATTTTCATCAAGAAAGTTTTTGTTGCAAAATAGTTTATAGCGCGAAACCCCAAAAAAATAATCTGTAATAAATAATAATTCGGTCAAAGAAATGGAGAAAAATACTATAGATTTCATTCGGAATTGCCATCTTTAACTAGGCTTCACTTTCGTAAAGCACACAACAAATGCATTCTTGTTCTTCTTGTTTACGATAAGAGTAAATTTTTCATAAGGTATACACACATTAACGAATTTTTTGCAGTAGTATTTTTTTAAACGCACAATAACATAGAAGCGTCAAGTTAAAGTTTCATAGTTCAGAGAATTCGCTACACCCACTAAAGGCAATGGAATGTTTCGTCGTTGACCAATATCAAAATATAGTGATAGGTGATAGTTAATTTAGACAACTCGTCGTGATAACAACATCATGCAGCAGTTGATTTAGTTAAGCAGTTTTTTTAATAATAATAATGAATAAATCCACAATAGCATTTAATAATTCTACATAGGTTAAGGACCACCCCAATAAATAAAGTAAGCAAACACAGCACTTCTCACCATTCTCCTATTGCATACTACCAGAAGAATTTCTCATCATTCTTTTATTGTATACTACCAGAAGCACTTCATCCAACAACATCATCCAATTTCCAACGAAAATGCTGACTGTCAATTAGTGGACAAAACATAGATTTCTTGTAAGATAGTTTGTAAGAACTAAATCAGTCTTTTACCGACATCAATCCGACAAGCACGAAAAGTAGTAAATGTGTTAAATAAATTGTTTTTTAATAAACCAAATTTTATAAAAAAAAAAAAAATTATAACTTATTTAACTGGCGCCCGAGCAGATATCCCAGGAAGGAAGAATCGTGATACTACGGACTGCGGTGGTAAAGGAGGCCTCACAGTTATGAAACTTCTTTAAATAAAAAACAAAAAGAAATAAATAAAAGGCACCTCATTAAAACTAAACGAAAACAAATTTATAAAATAAAGTTTATTATTATTATTATAATTTTAGACTAATGAAATAAATTCTTAGACTAAAAAAAGACATTGAGCACCAGCAACACAGGCTATCGGCTCTAATTTGTATAAATGGACATTAGATAATGAGCTTAGTAGTATTAAAAAAGTAATATATTGAATTGATATTCCGTTCTGAAGCCGATTGTAGAATGTCCAAAGGGTAAATCGTTTCAAATGCAATACTTCTAGCTAAGCAAAATTTAAGGCAGTCGCAGAGAATGTGCTTTATGGTGAGAGTTTGTCCACAACTGCAGATTGGGGAGGAAAAAATAAAGTTTAAAAACTAAATAAAAGAAATAAAAAGCAAAATTCAAAAGTTTTAATAAGTGAAAAGAACTCAAGAAAGAAAAAAAAGGAATGAAATGATTAAAGAAATAAAAAAGAAATAATAAACTTTGTTAACAGTAACAAAGACATCCACCGTAAGTTCTGGTCGACCTCAAGCAATACAGGAAGCGGCAAGTCCCCCAAGCAGGAATCATCAAAACGGGGGCACCAGTCCGAGGAGCAACCAAGCCGAAGGAGTAAAAGGAAGCAGTGCAGCAATTAGGACGAATAAGAACAAAGCAGATTGATGGTAATGGACTCACCGACTATGGTAGTAACCACTGTATTAATGTAAGTAAACTTTATATTTTACCACATAAGAACACAATAAAAACATAAACAATTTATAAAAGTGTTATCAAGAATTACAAGGAAGTTAAATAAAAAAAAAAAATTTCTACTAACAAAAATTAGAAATAAATAAGAGAAAAAAGAGAAAACAAGAATAAATGAGTGAAAATCAAGCTGAAAAATAAAAGAAAGAGAATTAAAAAAATTTTTGTAAAGACAAATAAGAGAAAAAGAGAAATTTAGCTAATAATAGAAGAAAAGAGAAACAAATTTATTAAAAAATATAAAAAAAAGGAGACATAAAACAAAGAAAAGAAGGAAAACAAATTTGGAAATTTTTTTTAATCAAAAAAAATATAGGAAAATTAAATAAAAGCCAAAGAAGGCAAATGAAACAAACTTAAGAGAAAGTCAATTAAAGATAAACAATAAAAGAAAAAAAAATTAGTAGAAATCAATTAATGAGAGAATTACTACAAAAATATGAATCGAAAATTATTAAATATTAAATTGCAAAGAATTTGCAAATTTCAAACTTCACTACAATTTAGCAAATAAGCAGAATTAAATTTAAGAATACCAAAATCCGAAAATTACAAAATTAAAATTAAGAATTTTTCGACAAGTATCAGAATATCGAAATCTGGAAAATTTTTTTTTGTTTCTTTTGCGATAAACTACGCGTTATTGGAATATTAAAATAGGAATACTACAATATTAAATAAAATTACATTTTTTTTCCTCTCTATAAAACCAAACTACAGAAATATCAAAATGAGCACTGAAAATTTAATCAGACCATTCATCCTAAGTGCAGTCAAACTACAGGCGCAAGATCGTCCGTTATAAGTTATATTAGAAGTGATGCGGGACGAAGGAAGACGGGTACTTCAGGAAATAGTTAATCCAGACTTAGAAGACGACAACACTGACCAAACAAAAAACTCAACGGAAGTTAACTTAAACTTAAACGAACTTAACTCAATACCAGACGTAGTCAAAAGCCTAAGGGAATTTTCGGGAAAACCAGACGAATTTAGCTCATGGAGAAGAAGTGTTGACAGAGAAACGCGCACCTTCACAACAATTTCAGGGAATGCCTCTCAAACATCAAAGGACCTACAATATAACGTGCGGAGAGGACAATGAAACAGATGAAACATATAACGAAAATATGGAATCAAGGGAAATCCCGGAGTACGAACAAATAAAACAGCTCGAGGACATTCATTTTTTAGATTAAGGTAATTTTCACTGCCTTATTTTGAACATAGAAATGGCGTTGGAGATATTTTAAAATTTTTAATAGACACAGGGTCGAACAAAAATTACGTGCAACCCAAACACATAAGGGAACCTATTATAATTGAAAAACCTTTGGTAGTCAGTTCCGTTTGCGGCAACATAAAAATAACGCATCATGCCCACGTGCAAATATTCCCCGTAGTAAAATAAAATTTTTCATTTTACCAAGCCTCAAATCGTTCGACGGCATTATCGGCAACGGTACACTAAGAGAACTCAATGCAGTCGCCCATACGAACCTTGATTTCATGTCAATAGGCCCAAACGTGAAAATTCCCCTGAAACAGTGCATATCAAGCTACATCAATAGTATCAAACTACGCACCTCACATTTGTCCGAAAAACAAAACAATCGATTATGAGCACTACTCCGAAACTGCCCACACCTATTTGCAGACCCCAATAAAAAACTGACCTTCGCAACAAATGTTTTAGCCGAAATCTGGACAACGTCCGATCAACCAATCTACTCTAGAAGCTATCCATATCCGATGGCTTTGAAAGAAGAAGCAGACAACCAAATAAAAGAACTATTGCAGGATAACATAATTAGACCTTCAAAGTCTCCATACAACTCACCTGTGTGGATTGTACCAAAAAAAATGGACTCTTCAGGCCAGAAAAAGTACAGAATGGTAGTGGACTACTACAAACTAAATGAAATATTGAGGTACTAGCTAATCTTGGTAGAACAAGCCTTTTAAGAGTGGAGGATGGGCGCGTGTCCAAACAAGCTTCTAAGAAAAAATTAAGAAGATTAGGGAAAGAGGAGATGCAATCCTTCAATCACCTAAAGAAATCTCTACCCTCGAATGAAGTCATATTGACTTATCCCAACTTCGATAAACCCTTCGAGCTTACGACAGACGCATCCAACTTCGCCATAGGAGCAGGTTCATCTCAGGATAGGAGACCATTAACATTCTTATCTTGTACTCTGAGCACGACTGAAGAGGCCTACGCCACAAACGAGAAAGAAATGCTAGCCATAATATGGTCGTTGAAAGCGCTGCGCAATTACCTACACGGATCAGGGGAGGTCAATATTTATACAGATCATCAACCACTCACTTATGCTCTGAGTAGAAGAAACACAAACCAGAAACTCAAAAGATAGAAAGCAATCCTCGAAGAGTATAACTACCAGTTAGAATGCAAACCCGGGAGAGAAAATATCGTAGCCAACTACCTGTCCAGACCACCAACGAACAAGGAAATAAACTCCTTAACTAGTACAGTCCACAGCGACGAAAGCTCAGGACAGCACTTAATTCCATCAGTGGAACTGCCTGTAAACGTGTTTCGTAACCAGTTAATTATTAAGCACGGCGATCAAGACAACTACGAGTTAGAAACCATTTTTAAAAATTTCTCAAGACACACAATAACCCAAAAGGAACTCACCGAAAAAACTTTGATAATGGCATTAAAAAGGTATCTCAATCCCAATGTTATCAACGGCTTGTGCACCACAGAAGCAATTATGGGAATAATACAAAGTTTCTACTCACAGCATTTTAAAGATTACCACACACGATTCTTACAGACCATAGGAAAGGATATAGAAATCGAAGAACAGCAGACAGAAATAGTTTGTCAGACAAATCGTAGAGCCCATAGAAACGCTAAAGAAAATCACCAACAGATCCTGTAGCAATATTTCTTCTCAAACATATCAGCCAAAATCAAGAAAATAGTTAACAACTGCAAAACATGTAGGGAAAATAAATAAGATTGTCATCCCAACAACATAGAGATTCAACCCACACCTATTCCAACTCATATGGGCCACACCGTACACATCGATATCTTTTCCACCGAAAGACACCTGGTACTGACCACCATAGAAAAATTTACCAAATTTGCAATAACGAAACTGATCCAATCCCGTGCTGTTGAACATCTCAAGAGACCTTTACAAGATATATTGTTCTATTTTGGTATTCCCACAATGATCGCAATTGATAATGAAAAGTCTCTGCAGGCCCTCCATTATGTCTATGCTCGAAGACGATCTCAAAATCAGGTATATAGCATACCGCCATATAAGAGCTAGGTGAAGGGACAAATCGAACGATTCCATTCTACCGTTAGTGAAATAATGGGATGCTTTAAATCGGATAGACAAAACGGACCTTCGAAGAATTACTGGAAAAGGATGTGAAAGAATACAACTTCACTAATCATTCCGTTACAAAGAAAAAATTAATAGATCTTCTCCATGGACGCACACCCAATATTGAGCCCGAAGAATTCGGAAAATTAAGATTGCAAAATATTAGAAGACTGAAAGAAAAACAGAGACAGGACTTGAAATACCACAACAAAATGAAGCACTACTTACCAGGGGACGAAATTTACGTAAAACACAACAAGGACAAGGCTCGAAATTGGCTTTCCGATATTACAAAGAAATAAAGAAGATAAAGGGACAACTATCATAACTAAATCAGGAAAAACCGTCCAAAAAATAACATAAGGAACTAAATTTTTAATTTCGGGTTCTTGATTGGAATAATTAGTGGTGACATACAAATCCTGGTTTTCTCCAAATCACAAGTAGTACCCATCCATACGGGACAAGCACGGATGCAAACTGGAAATTTCACATTAATCCACGTAATTGACTTAGACGAATACGAGGCAAAAATCACTGAATTGGGAAAGACAGTCAACAACAACAGTGATCATTCTCTATTCCCTTATCTCAAGCATGAAATAGGGCAAATCGAAAATTTATTACGACGCCTGAAACCTGGGAAAATAATAAGGAAAAGATCATAGGAGTTCATAGCGTCCGCCTGGAAATGGATCGCGGGTAATCCCAATCGTGAAAACCTTTTGACAATGCAGGACAAAATAAATAACTTGTTACAAAACAACAACCGGCAAACCGGAATCAACAAACTTTGCGAGGATAGGTACAACAATATTACCAAGATCATTAATATCTTGCCGCAAGAATTTAAATCTGGGAAAAATAACAATAAAGAAAAACTAATT